TTCCTTCAAGAGATTATCCCCTATTACATTGCAGCTCCCTAAAAAGGGAAATGGATATGTGATCAAAGTCTGCCAACTGGGGGGTCATTACTGCTCCCTCCTAGGTGGCTCTGTTAGGCCTTGCCTCCTCTACCTTGGTCAGCAGCATCCCAGCCCAGGCTCACACCTCCTCTCCCCAGCCCCACCCAGGGACGCAGAGACTCCCAGGGCTGCATCAGGGGCTCATGTGGTTTCCCAAAGAAGGGCCACTTATCACAGCTGCTTTGTTTATCTTAAGATTTTTCAAAGGATATCAGCATGCTGGGTGCCTCCTGAAGGGTATGGTCTGGATGTTGAGACAGCTCCCAAACTGTGCCATTTAAGGACTCTGGGGGTGGACAGCGATCTTCATCAAATCTCTGCAGTGTTGCAACACGTGTGGTGCATGCTAATTCTGTGGGTCCCCCATAGCATAGGGCAAAGGCAAAGTGCATAGAGGCAGAACACTGTCCATAAGTGAGACAGGAAACATTGTGGGGGTAGTGAGCTCTCTGTCACTGAGGGTATCCAAGTAGCAGATGCTATGGATCAGCTTGTCCACTGCCCAGAAGGCCACTGTGGAAGGGAACACAACCAGATAATTTTCAAGGTCACATACACCTCTGAGATTAAAGAGACTGCACAGAAGCCACCTTACCCACTAATATTTTCAACCGTCTGTCCAATCCATTCATTTATTCTAAAGGGGATTCAGGGGGCGCCTGGGTGGCTCAGTCGTTGAGCATCTGCCTTTGGCTCGGGTCATGATCCCAGGGTCCTGGGATCAAGCCCCGCATCGGGCTCCCTGCTCCGTGGGAGGCCTGCTTCTCCCTCTCCCACTCCCCCTGCTTGTGTTCCCTCTCTCGCTGTCTCTCTCTGTCAAATAAATAAATAAAATCTTAAAAAATAAATAAATAAATAAAAAATAAAGGGGATTCAGGTACATATGAAGTATAGGCCAGTATTGGGCTCTGGAGAGACAGACATGAATAAGATGCTGCCCTTTTCCTGGAGTAGCCCATCATCAAGTTGGGAGACAAGACTTTCAAATTATTAGATATAAAGGAGTCCATCTAATAATAGAAGTGACCGACTAGCTGGGGATGAAATGGAGTGGTGGGAGGGTTAGCAGGGAAGTTTGCACAAAACAGAAGATGCTTGAAATGGGTTTTAAAGGGTATGTAGGAGTCTTCCAGGCAGACTCAGGTGAAAGAGAATTTCAGGCAGAGGGAACAGCATATATAAAGTCAGTCTCAGAAGTTTGAAACACCTGACATTGTCTGTGGGCCTTACGTTTAGTTCCTTATCTTTGGAATATTAATATAAGGGCAAGAAATGAGGCTGGAGGGGCATGTAGGGTGAAGTCATTAGGGACCTTGAATTAAAGACTAGAATTTATCCTGAAGATAATGGCAAGGGGAGTAACTGGGTCCTATTCACATTTTAGAAAGATCTCTCTGATTACAGTTGAGAATGGATTGGAGGGGACAAAACCAAAGCAAGAGAAACCAGTGAGGAGACTCATGGGAAAGTGTTTCTCCGGATAAATTCACTATTTGCAAGAACTGTGGCTGTGCATTAGAATCACCCAGGGAGTTTAAACCCTGCCGATGGCCTGCGTCCCATCCCCAGAGAGTCTGACTGAACTTAATAGGGCCGTGGCTTTGGGAGTTTTAAAGCTTCCATCAGATGATTCTAATGTACAGCCATAACAAAACTCTCAGCGAATTATAACTGAAACCCTAGCCCATGGTAGGTACTCAACAGACTTTTTCCCCAAAAATAATTATGAAAATATTTGGAGCGTCCTATTCTTGGTTTCATACCACTTTGGGGTGGATATAATGGAATGAACAGTTGGCTTTTATCACAGAGAGTTTCAGGCAGAACATCCATCCCCAGAGTGGGCTTAAACCTTGAGAAGTCCAGTGTTACCTGTGAGACAGTCACAGCCCACCATTGCGGAGAGCCAGGACTATGTGGGCTCGGCAGTTGTCTGCCAACAGCTGGTGCTAGCGGGCCTGGCCAGGAGAATGAGGCCCCAGGCTGGAGTCTGAGTTCCAAGAGTTGCATGTAAAAAGCAAGAACCATTTGCAATCAAGAGCTGTCCTACACAAGTGGCAAGGGGGGTGCAGGGAGATGGTCATTTGTAATGAGGAGGAAGGAGGAGGAAGAGGACCAGGAGAAAAAGGAGAGACAGGCCCTCCGTTTGAAAAGTAAGCACTTTCCTCTCTCCGTGGCATTTTTGTCACACTCAGATTTAGGGCAGAGATTGGGAAGACAATCTAGTACCCCCTTCTGAAACCCTGGGGAAAGCGAGGTTGGGGAACACAGCTTAGCCAGGCAGCTCAGGCAAGGGCCTCCCACCCCATCTCCATTCCATCTAGAATGGCGAGGTCGCAGAATGAGGACTAGTTCTACCTACCCAACCACTGCAGAGTTGAGGATCATGGTCACGCTTCTAGAAAAAAGGTCGGCAGAGTGCATCCACAGGCTAAATCCAACCCAACACCTGTTTTCGTAAATAAAGTTTCATCAGAACATAGCCATGCCCATTTGTTTGCCTTTTGTCTGTCACTGCGTTCACTCTGCAACCAGAGTTTGAGTGGCCGCAGCATGGAGTACTTGGCCTACAAAGCCCATGCTGCCCAGTCTCTGACCCATTACAGAAAGTGTGCCTACCTCTTCTCTAGAAGATCCACTCAGGTTGGCTTAACACATGGGAGACTGGAAGCAAGAAAGGGGGTACTGTGCATGAGCTGGGCTTTTCTCAGGCAGTGGTGCTGCCTGCCTATGAAACACAGCCCACTGATGGAATTTCTGACTGTTTGGCTTATGGACTGCTTATTGGGGCTGAACCTAGTAAGGGATGGATGGGAAAAGGCAAGGCCAGTGTAATAAGGTGAGTGGATGCTCCTTTCCCCTGAGCTGCAGACAGGGAGCTGTGTAGACTGAAGGTATTGCAGGTCCAGCCTCAGAAGCAGTGCAGGGCCCACAAGCAGGGCATTCAGCCCACGCCACAGGGTGCAGGGTGGAAACAGTAATCAAAATGTGGCCAGGTCTTCATGCTTCTGGAGCTTTCCTACAGCTGTTCCTGCTCCCCTGAATGCCCATCTTCGTTCTCTGTGAGAGAAGCAACTTCACCTGCCCCTGTGTTTCCATAGCTCTTGGCTCATAACCCTGTTAATCGTTCCACATGGTTGTGGACTTGTCTGTCTCCTCTTGGGTTGATGACTCCCACCCCTTCCCCCAGCTCTGACTGTGAGCTTCTGTGTCCAACTTCATACTCAGCATGGATGTCGACTAGTCATCTCAAACATGGCCCCTGCTACACTGTTCTCACTGTGTGGGACATGGCAAGAAGCACACAGCACTCAGCAAGGGCCAGGCGCTGTTCTAAGCACTCAATGTGCCCAGAACACAACACATAATTCCTGCCTCTCCGGTCTCTCTCCCCTTGTATTTCTTCTCCATCTCAGCAAATGCCACGGCTCTCCACTCACTTCTTCAAGCCAACAGTCTAGGAGCCAGCCTTCATCCCTCTTTCCTTCATAGTCCACACCTACAGCAGATGTGTTGGCCTGCCTCTGTCCCCTCTACATTCATGTTCCCATGCACGCTCACCCAATGCCAGCCACCTAGAAACACCTGTGGCTTGTTGCCCAAGGACTTTCTTAGAGAATATGCACAGCTTACCTGCAGAGCATGGCAGAAATGCCAAGGGATTTCCTAAGCATTGTCCTCAACCAATGGTCAATGGGAATTTGTGGGTAAATACCCCAACACGTGGTGGGCTGGTGAGATTAAACCCCAGGTGTACACGGTGCTGACTTGCTCACTGAGATACTTGGACTGACTTCCTTCCCGTGTTTGTGTCATTTCCCCCACTCTCCCACCCATGCTCCTTAGGATTGCCTCCAAAGAAGATCTCATATTCAAATCCTTGTTTCCAAGTCTGCTTCTGAGGGAACCAAAATCTACAGTATTCAACTGAACATCCTGAAAATAATCACTTCTCACTACATCTACTGCCACCATCCTGGAAAAGGGGCCAAGGTGCCCTCATCTCTTACCTGGACTATTGCAACAGCTTCCTAACTGATCTCCCTGCTTCCTCCCCGGGCCTCCTAAGAGCCTGCATCCCAAACATGAGCCAGAATGTAAAACCTAAATCAGATCAGCTAACTGCACTGCTCAAAACCCTCCAAAGGCTTTCCGTCTCACTTAGAATGATATCATATCCAACTCGTTACCAGTGACCACAATACCTTACAGAGCCTGAACTGTCCCAGCCCACCCAGATGCTCTCACCACTGCTCTCCCTGCCTCACCCTTGAATACGGTCATTTGGTTACCTCTTTTGCACCTGCTCTTCCCTCTGCCTGGAAAGCATGTCCTGCTTTTAGCACAACTGGCTTTTTCACATGATTAAGGAGATAGGTTAACTGTTCCCTTCTCAGAGAAGCCCTCCCAGACTGTATAATCTGAAGAAATTCTCATCCTCCATCACTGTCCCTTCTCCCTGATTAATTTTCTTCATAGCACTTTCCACAATCTGAAATTATATATGTTTTCTCTTTTACTTGCGGCGTCGCCCCGTTGACTGGAAGCTCAAAGGGGACTTTGCCTATTTCTCTGTATCCTGAGTACCTACAACAGCGCCGAATACATATTAGGGACTCAATAAATACCCGTCAAATGAATGAATGAGTTAATGAGCAAATGAGTCCCGTACTGGGCCAGATTTGGACTCTGGACACACAGAAGGCATCAATGACATTTGAGTCAATGAACGAGTGGATAAGTCCACGAAGGGGCCAAGTCTACGTTCTCCCCAGGCCACATCCAAGAACGCGGAGCCCTTTATACTGAGTGACCCATCCCAGTGGATCTGATCCCCCCCACACACACCCCAGCTCATCTACACATGGAGAAAGCCCCTATCTCAGGCCGTTCTAACCACTCTATTCTTCCTCTTTTAGGCCTTACCAGAGGGGCAGACAGCTTCGTGGGACACAGCCAAAGAGGATGAAAACCGCAATAAGAATCGATACGGAAACATCATCTCCTGTAAGAGCCCTGAGGGTTTGGGGAGCAGCCAGCTCAGGGCCCAGAGGAGCCCAAGGCAACTCTGGTCACACAAGGGACAGGGTTTAAGGCATCATGACTTCTGCCGGCCCCCACTGCTAGGGTGGTGGCTGTTGTAAGGTGAGTGTCTGCCACGCAGGCCCTGCGTTGGCCAAGACACTTGGTGGCCCTGAGCCTGCAGGAGGAAAACATGTTTTGTACTGAGATTGGGGAGGCATGCAAGGTCATTGCCTTTTGCTCGACAACGAGCTTTAACATTCCTGTAATCACCGCTCATACGTGGTTTGATGAAGGCAGTGAAGCGGAGCGGTTTGAGCCCTGTGGAGTCAGACTGCCTGGGCTTCCATCCCAGCTATGGGGCCCTGGGCAAGTTACCTGACCTCTCTAAGCTTCAGTTTCTTCCCTCGGAAATGACACAAACAACAAAGACAGGGTTATTTTAAAAAGGTACATGAACCTTTGCCCAGTGCTTGGCACCATTACTCTTGGCCATAGAGTTAGTTTCTCGTGGTCCCTGAAGATCAGTACAGATATATAATTTCACCTTTTATTTTTTTGAAGATTTTATTTATTTATTTGACAGAGAGAGACACAGCGAGAGAGGGAACGCAAGCAGGGGGTGTGGGAGAGGGAGAAGCAGGCTTCCCACTGAGCAGGGAGCCCAATGCGGGGCTTGAGCCCAGGACCCTGGGATCATGACCCAAGCCGAAGGCAGACGCTTAATGACTGAGCCACTCAGGCACCCCAATTCCACCTTCTTTTAACCAGAAATCACTGACTACCCATCTGGGGACATGGGATAAACTGGGTTGGTGGGGGGATGGGCATGATCAGATGTCCAGTTTTGAAAGATCACTAGGGTAGCTGATTGGGAGGGTGGATTAGAGTGTGAGAGATCGGAGGCAGAGGGACTGGTCAGGAGGCTACTGCAGTGGTCCCAGCGAGGGACAGTGAGGCCTGAACAAGGACAGTGCCAACATTTGTGTGTGACTGTGCATAATATTCAGTGCTAGATGATGAGGCAGGGAGAGAGGAGAGGTCACACGGTATCATCACTGCCAAATATTGGTATGTACAGCCTTCAAAGCAGCATAAATACAGAGAGGACAAAGTTACCTCATACAGAATGTTGAGCGCATGGTCTGATTAGAACAGAGTTGACAACAGCCTTTGTCTGCCATGGTGTACTCAACCTGGACCTTTTGACATCTCACCAATTGTGTGCATTGCATTTCTGGTCTCAGTTCTCAGGATTACCCCATCTAGCCAGAAACAGAGGGGAAAAAAAGACCTTGAATAACAAATTATTTCTAGCATAGTTCAGTGTTTTGTTTTGTTTAACTGTCTAGACATTGCCTAAGAAAAAAACTTGGAGGAAGAAAACATAAGATACAGGCAGCTTGCAAAGGAAGAAAGAGGCAGAAGTTTTAGCTTAGCTGTTTCCTGTGCTGATTTAGGAATGGGCTATGAATGGTAGAACTAATCAGAAAACATTTATAATTTGTCTCTTGGAAGACAGTAATGCAGGCAGCAAGATTTATTGCAAGTGAAGCGTTGGAAAGAGATGCTCGAACAATCAGGAAGTGTGTTATTAAGACCCATAACTCATGGGCCTCCGTTGAGCCAGGCCCTGTGCTGGACCCTCAGTCTCTGCTCCCACAAAGCTCCTGTGCTGGGCACAGGTTAGCTGCTCACTCTGACCATCCTCTGCTCGAGCACTGTGCATACCATTCCCTAAAATATCTGGCCACTTGTCCGTTCCCCCTTTCAGATTGTGAGTTTAGAGAGGGGCCACTAAATTATAGTCTGTGAGACCTTAGGTGATCACACCAAACCTTAGTCGTCTCTCTGTAAATTGGGTACAATGATGTCTTCCTCCCAGGGCATTGTGCAGATAAGAAAAGATAAATGACTAGAGCACAGTGAAGAGCCTTTGCCTCCCTGAGAGACAAGGATATCCAGCCTGGGCCAGGTATCCACGCAAAAGCCTGTGGGGGCTAAGGATGAAAAGCCACACCAAGCTGTCTGTCTTCCAGACTTCCCTGCTCATCCTTGGCATCCAGGACCTTTGCCCAAGCCATTGTCAGGTCTCACCTGGACTCTGCCCAGCCTTCTTCCTACTGCTGCACATCTAATCTGACCCCAAATTCCACCTATCTGATCTCTGACAGAAGCCAGAGGGACATCCTCAAAATGGGAATTGGATCGTGTCATTTTCCTATTGAAAGCCCTTCAAATGGCTTTCCTGCATTTCTAAGCACTCCTTATCCAAAGGCCCTCAGCCACCTCTCCACTCCCATTTCATATCGTGTCCTCTCCATCCCAGTTTCCTCAATTAAGCCACACTGATCTTCATTCAGTCCCTTGAGCTTTCTGTGCTCACTCATGCCACAGGGCCTTTGCACACTCTGTGTACTCTATCAGAGTGCCCTTCCCGCCTCACTTTGCTCTGCTAAGTTCTACTTATTCTTCAGATCCTTCTTGGTCATCACTTCTTCAGGGAATTCCCCAGGCCCTTCGAATTTGGTCAAAACCTCATTATTCACTCCTTGGGCACACTGCATGTCTTCTCCTTAACCCTCATCATCATTGTGATTTGAGAGGCATTTGGATGACTATCTGTTGACTGCCTGTTTTCCTCACTGGAATAGATGCTCTGTGACAGCAGGAAGATGACTGTACTTCTGTGTCCCCAAACCTGGCATATGGTTGGGGCTCAGTAAATAGGAACTTAATGTTGGAAAGCAGACTCTCTGCAAGACCCCGAAGGGCTTCAGCCATGGACCTCTCCCTTCTGGCTTCTCAAATAAAGGAGAGAATATTCAGGAAGCATGGAGGGAGGTAAGCTGGAGCAGGATGACAGGGGGCACAAAGATTTGCCAGTAGGAAGAAGCTACTGAGCCTGAGTGGGGGCAGAGAGACAGGACACAGGAAAGGGCCGGAAGAGAACCATCCTGTCCCGTGTGAGAGCTGCGTCTTGGAAGGCAGGATTCCAAGTAGCAAGGAAAACAATGAAAGGGATTGAACTCCATCACTGGGGGTGCAGAAGACGCTGTCAGCATGCATCACGCCCACACCCCACGGCCTCACCACCTGGTGTTTGGAACCAGCAGGCAGTCTGTCATCCTGCGCCGGGACTAGGGTGAGCGAGCCAGGCACCCAGAGTGCAACATTCAAGGAGATGCTGTGCTCGGCTGCATGACCCTGAGAGCGAGCGCCTCACTGAGGTGTATGCCCTGGACACCTCACTTGCTTCCCCCTCGTGCTGCCCTGTCACCTGAGGACCTGCTCCCAAGCTGGGGCAAGACACTCTGTGCAAAAGGCAGTCTTTCCCTAGCCAATGAAATAGCCCAGCTCCTTCCCATCCCACTGAGGGTGTGTTCTTCACCTTTTCCAGAGTTCCATCAGGGCCTGGGCTGCCATTTCCCACCACAGGAACGGGCTTGAAAACTCTCCCTTGGGGGCTACATTCTCTCGGCCGCCTCCCTGCCCCCCTTCCTGCTGGTGCCCCCTTCCTGCATAAACTATGTGCACCAGGATCCTCCTCTCGCATCTCCTTCTGGGAAAACCCAAAGGAGGCAGAGGGAATTCAAACACCTAACGTTACCACCCTGACAGGCTCGAACAAACCTGAATCTCCTTTCTCACGGAAGGGTCAGTAATTCTACAGGATACTGCGGCCTGGGTGGGTCTGCACTCCCTAAAAAGGAGACAGGATCAGGCAACCCGTGCATTCAAAAACCCTGGAAGACATACCGAGGAACCAAGCAAAGAAAGACTCCTAGAATTGAAATGAGAAAGGGAAAAGGGAGACAGCCCCAAGGAATGGAAAGTGTTCCTGTCCTTGTATGTGTCCCTCCCAAAGGCAAAGTCTGTCGCGGCTTGATAAATAGAAATATTCTTGGCACAAGAAGAAAACTGGGTGTGATTAGCATCTTAAGGAACCCGGAGCTCTGGGAGGCTGGAGTGGAGGACAAAGGCCCAGGCCAGGAAGACAGAGAAGATTAAAGGGGAAGAGGAGGAGGGAAGGCACTGCTTGCAAATGAAACAATGAAAGAGAAACCTTGGTTAAATTAGCCCTTTCTTCCAAATGAGGCTGTCTAGAATTTGGTAGCAGAGACAGTGGGGTTTCCAGGGGTGGAATGACAAGGAAATGAAAGGGAAGGAAGTGAATGGAGATCCAGAACAAAGAGTTCTTTGCATTCAAGCAGCTCTGGGGCAGAGACTGTGGACAAGGGGAAATTTCAAGAATACCCCAGCGTTCCCATGTGGATGTTCTTTTGGAGGGGGCTCCCTGGGCTGGTGGGAAGAAGTTACAGCGAGGAGAGGAAGTGATTGCAGAGGTTGCAGGTTTCATCAACTCTGTCAGGGTCCCAGCAGGAAACAGATGAGACGCTCAAGGAGGGGGATGTGAAGAGCTGAGGAAGTAAGCATACGTTGGTCACATTCTCTTTTGGTCCAGTTCCTGCAGGGGCTTTCCATTGGCCAAACCCAACCCGAAGCCAGAGGACAAGGGAATCTGCAGACCTAGTCCACTGGGCCCGGGTGTACTAGAATACTGGACATGGGCTCAGGCAGAGCCGGGTTCTAGTCTCAGTTCTGCCCTTGACTGGGTGCATGACCTTCGGCAAGGTCACTTCATCTCTCTGACCCTCAGTTTCTCCTCTCTCAGTGTACAGAGGGCAAATTAAGATGAATTACTACTGAATCCAAATCCAGTGTAGAGACTTTTAAACCCAGCTGAGACTTAGTCCAGCCTCTCTGAGTTCACTGGTGAGGAGTAATGGTCCAGAGATGTAGAGTCCCCGGCCCAGGTCACACAGCAAGTCTGTAGGATGGTCACACCCAGCCCTCCTGGCTTGTAGCGGCTGGGGTACCAAGTGACCCTGGCAAGGAATCCTTCTGCATCAAGACACATCATGCTAAGGGCTCCAACCTCAGAACAAATGGCCGACTGGGATGAGCTCTTCAGATTCACTTCT